ATTCTCTAATTTTCCATAAAACTGGTGACATATTGATGATTGATATTTCATGTTAATAGTTTAATAACGAATATTTTTCTCTTCTTTTATGATAAAATGACATGACAAGATACAATTTTCTTTTTTTTTTTTTTAGTTTGATTAAGTGTCAATAAGTGAATAACCGATACATATGTGTATTTACATAAACTTTAAGTTACAAACATCTATGTATATATGTTCACTTCATCTAGTTGTGTACGTATCGATTTGTTTGTTTGCTTTTTTTCCAATAAGAATGTTCACACATTTCAGTTTAATATTCATCGTCGATTTATCATACTTACTTACTTATTTACTTAAGCCTCTTACTCCCAATGGAGCATAGGTCGCCGACCAGCATTCTCTAAACCACTCTATCATGGACATTCCTTTACAGTTCTATTCAATTGTTATTCATTCTTCTCATATCTGTCTCCATTTCTCGATGTAATGTGTTCTTTGGTTTTCTTCTTCTTCTCCTTTGGTCTTGAGCATTCCAAGTGACGGCTTGACTTGTGACACAGGTGGGTGCTTTCCTCAATGTATGTCCTATCCACAACCAACACTTCTTCCTGATTTCTTCCTACATTGGAATCCGATCTGTTCTCTCACACAGTAGGTTGTTGTTGATAGTGTAGTGTCTGGTCAACGGGTCCGAAGTATTTTGCGTAGGCAACTGTTATTCATCACTTATATCTTCTGGATGATGACTTTCGTAGTTCTCCAGGTTTCCACCTCGTAAAGTAGAACTGTTTGACATTTGCATTGGAAATTGTGACATTGGTGTTGGTGCACAGATAGTTGTTTTGAATTGCAGATGTATTTCAGTTGTAGATATGCTGTTCTTGCTTTGCCGATCGACGCCTTCACATCTGCATCAGATCCACTGTGTTCATCAATGATGCTGCCCATATATGTAGGGGTTTTTACGTCTGCCGTGTTCACCGATTTGTTATGTGAAACATTAATTCGACTGCTAAATAACTTATCAGGTTCCCAATTTGTATGATGTTATCTCAGTCTTTCTTCTTCACATTTTAGCAGCATTTCGAATAAGATGTTACTAAACAAAACTAAGAATCATTATACAGCTATTTTTTGTAGAAGACTCATCCACTTATAAATGAATTTAATCATTACAAAATTTCTTGACTAAAATATAATTATGTGATCATCATTGGTGACTTACGTCGAGATAATATCCTTAAGCTTAGTCATGTCGAAAGTGAGATCGGTATTTGATGATCATCTCATTATTTAGTGCATCCAATGGAATCTAAATTAGACAACCATAGAAAAACAAACAGCATTGAACGGCCGTTTCGTCCTATTATAGGGCTCCTTAACAACGGGTATACACGCCCCCTGCCCTGAACGGAAGTCAGGCACTTCGATTTCATGAGCGAGCGCCTAATCTCTGGACCACTGCGTTTAAATTTTTGATGTTTTGTCGGTGGTTTGAAAGTAGCTCATTTATCGTGAAACTTGAATATCTTGCGTCCGGTCCTTAGCTGAACCATGGGTATGTAGTATTAGAGACTGTCAAGGATTCAGTTTCCCTGGGTTTTTTAAAATAATCTAATTAATGTCAGTTCGTAACGAAAATGCCCCATGGTTCAAACAGTAACGTGGTCATTAAGAAACTTAAATATATTGTAGAATAGTTTTATTTGAGGTCACGTGTTTGCATTTCTCAGGTGCTTTAAACTGTAACAAAAAGGCTAGTTAGCACTCTTCCGTTTTCTGCTGCTCTATACTTGGATTTAACCCTTAGAAAAACTTTACTCCAAAATTACATATGTTTTGGATTGTAGCCAACAGTGAAATAAAGAACATATTCCTCATCCTATTCGGAATTCGTCAGCCGAATATGCCTGCTTCTATTATAGAGTTAAGGCCCACAATGAGATTCCAAACTAGGTCTCTGTCACTTCAAACTCTACATCATCATCCACTAAAATCAAACTTTTTTCTTGTTTCCTGAATATGTCGGTATCATCCAGGATTTACAATTGTCTGATGGCGATATATAGGACTATAATTAATCCATGTCTGTTAGCTTTTGCAAATTTTCAACGAATACTAAGATAGTGCCTTTAAATGGAGAGGTTTTTAGTATATTTTGGAGAGGAAAGGATATGACGCTAACGTGAAAAACATAAAACTACCCAACTAATACATTAAAGGTCAACGATCCATATTACTCAACAATTTGATAATTATTGATTGAGATCATGAACCAATCGATGTCAGACCACCATTGAAAACCCAAAAGCATTGGAAGGTCGTTTCGTCCCACTTTGGGACTCCTCAGCGTTGCGTATACATGACTCAGGGCCTTCAGTCTTGCGCGCGAATGCTTAAACTCTGGACCGATGAGCCGGCATCTAATGTTATCAATGTACATTTAAAAAGCTCTAATTTGTTGTTTTACTCTACTTTGAAATGCATTGGTACCACCCACTCATGTGATCGAACCTAGACCATATACATGACGGCTTCACACAGAACCTTGCGTCTCACTAAGCCATGGAGTATTACATTAAAAAGTCTGACATGTGACTGGGATGAATATACTTATTTGAAGGGGGCTAACTACCATTGTTTACTGGACAGATTTTGTTTGCACTGATGAAGTTTAATTAATCGTAGCTTGAGTGTATGTCATAATGAATGAATAAATGAAAGAAACTGTGAGGATACACTCGATGGTCATAATGAATGATTACCCTACTAAATTAATCCGCAACCGAAATGTAATCTGCAATCTCTCTATGTCTCTTGAACCTTTCCTATCAGTCTATAATATAATTCTGATAAGAATCTGTCTATTGGTTGAATGAAGCTAAACATTGAAATTGAATTTATGGTTTTCATTGCAGAGTTTCCATTGAAAGTAAAATAACACTGGACTACTATTTATTCCTACAGGAATGTTCACCCGAGTGCTTAACCTTTAAACCATACAACTGAAATTTAATGATGGGTGCTCAGTGACACTGAGGCGTTTCATAATAAAGTGAAACAGTCACCCGATACTCACTTATTTAATATGCAATCTAAGACATAAAAAACGTAAACGTAAATCTTAGTGGATTAAATTAATATCATTATTAATTACTATGCTCTAGTTGAATTTTCGAATGTTTTATGAACACCACTACAAATTAGAAAACAGCTCCTTAATGATGTTGGATAAAAATCATCCTTTGTGAAATATTCATTGAATTTGAGAATTAGGACACTGATTACGTTCTATTTACCTTTAGATCGTGAAATCTTTATGTTCTTTCCGGGATGATTACTAGTATACACTGTTTAAGAGTTTGGGGTAAGACAATAACATAGTCTTCTTTACTACAGGCTTGTAAACGAATAATCTACAAAATTAAATTATTAATAAGACAATGAGTTTGAACAATTATTTCTGGTTGCTGTTTTCTTAATAGAGAAGATTTGGAAGATGTAAAAACTGTTACATATATGGGCAGCAGCATTGATGAACACGGTGGATCTGATGCAGATATAAAGGTGACGATCGGCAAAGCAAGAGCAGCATATCTAATTAAGTAAGTAAGTAAGTAAGTAAGTAAGTAAGTAAGTAAGTAAGTAAGTAAGTAAGTAAGTAAGTAAGTAAGTAAGTAAGTAAGTAAGTAAGTAAGTAAGTAAGTAAGTAAGTAAGTAAGTAAGTAAGTAAGTAAGTAAGTAAGTAAGTAAGTAAGTAAGTAAGTAAGTAAGTAAGTAAGTAAGTAAGTAAGTAAGTAAGTAAGTAAGTAAGTAAGTAAGTAAGTAAGTAAGTAAGTAAGTAAGTAAGTAAGTAAGTAAGTAAGTAAGTAAGTAAGTAAGTAAGTAAGTAAGTAAGTAAGTAAGTAAGTAAGTAAGTAAGTAAGTAAGTAAGTAAGTAAGTAAGTAAGTAAGTAAGTAAGTAAGTAAGTAAGTAAGTAAGTAAGTAAGTAAGTAAGTAAGTAAGTAAGTAAGTAAGTAAGTAAGTAAGTAAGTAAGTAAGTAAGTAAGTAAGTAAGTAAGTAAGTAAGTAAGTAAGTAAGTAAGTAAGTAAGTAAGTAAGTAAGTGAGTAAGTGAGTAAGTGAGTAAGTAAGTAAGTAAGTAAGTATGTAATACATTGAGTTTGGAATGTCAGTTATCAATCTTGGGTAGTCAGACTTGTAAAGGATAACTTAATGTTTAAATGTCAGAGTGTGAAATTAGACACCACAGATTCTAATAACAGAAAAAACACCAATTTTTTCAAGATTATATGTACTCCTTGTTGTCGGTTTCCAATGAGGATAAAACCTATCGTTCATACTTCCTATCGTCTAGGCATCACTATGTAATGTTTTTTTTATAAGGAGATAATGACAAAACAAAACAAAACAAGTTGATCGAGCAAACAAGTTCAAAATGACATGAATTAAGATGTTACCTAAACTAAATTTTACACCATTAACCACCCTACATTATATTTTTCGAAAGTTTTAGTTAACTGTGATCGGAGTAACCTTCCTTTTTTTCTTATTGGCCAGGAAGTTTATTTCACGGAAAGTAGTGAACACATACACAAAACACATGCACAAAACACATCCACACAAATACAAAACTAGAAATCATTGAATATTTCACCCCCTTTCTTTTCAATGATCATTTTGACTACGGCTTAAAGACACTGTGTAATGCACATACGCCACTCATAACATATTTCTTTCCTAAAAAACACAACAAATAACCAATCAGATTCGAATAAGTTATTAACACTTAATCTTTTTATTCGCTAATTAATAATTTTGAACAAATTAATTAAATAAGATAAATTCTGTTAAAATAGGGAAGATTTTCTTAGGTGTGCACATTTTTTTTTTCGCACCTTTTTATTGATAAATAATTTGGAATCGTCATCATAATTGTACAGCAATTTTAGTATCTTTTCTAGATTTCTGGACAATAAATCTTGATCACTACATTCATGTTACAATCGAACTCGATGACATTAACTACTTATATGCGTAATATATGTGATTGTTCAATAAATCAATGTAATTGTCTAAATTCATTACCTACATATATTGAACCATTAAATTCTATATCATCGGCTTATAAAAATGATCATGAAAATCTTCAACATCTTCCTCATCCTCATCATCATCATCATTATTATTATTATCCATATGATAAGAAATCATATCAGTTACAATTGAAAATGAGACAAACATATACTACTGATATTAGTAATAGTCGTAGTAACGGTTGTGGTAGTGTTAGTAGTACTAGGAGTAGCAGTGATAGTAGTAGTAACAGTAGTAGTAGTAATAGTAGTAATACATGTTGTATATCATCTCCAAGTAATAAAAGTAAAAACATTGATCCAATGGATTTAACAAATCCAATAAATTCTTCTAATGAAGAATTATTTTCAACAACATGTCGATTGTTTCCATTAGATAAAATACAGAGAAAAGATAGTCATTATGAATCACTATTGGATCATACAAATGTACATTGTTGGAATGATTATCAACAAATTGATCAAATCTGTTCACAATCATCCACCTCTATATCAATATCACCAACATTATCATCATCATCATCATCATCATCATCTATACAGTCTACTGGAAAGATTAATCCATTTAGTTTATTAATACCATCATCAGTAAAAACAACATCTACATCTGTATTACCAATTTCTTCATTTCAATCTGAATCTAATGCACATTTATTAAGAGTATTGAATCATGAGTTGATTCCATGGTATAGTGATCATATTCATACAATTAATCAATATCATTCTACTATTAATAATAATAATAATAATAATAATAATAATAATAATAATTCAGATTGTACTTTACCTAATCATTTCACTGAAACAAATTGGTATCCAAATATGTTAACATTCAATGAACATTTGAATATATTTGAATATAAACCATCGAATTTATCAAAAAATGACATGATGATGAACAAATTAAAAACTACAAATATTATTAGTAATTATACTACTACAGATACATCTAGTAGTACTACAACTGTGGATACTACTAATAGTAGTATAATGACAAGTAATGATGGATTAGAAAAATATTGGTCAACGGAAGACATAATGTATAATCAATCATTAGAAATGAGTAAGTAAAAAATTGAGTTTAATATAGTTTTATTATACTGTATAGATAATGGTCGTTTGATTTGTAAGTAAAAATAACTGATTAAAACATTCTTAGGCGATAAATGAGCAATTTAGGTTAGTTGAATAGATAAAAGACTTCAAATAGTCGTGATATAACTTCACTGAATAGAATAGATCCCTCTAGCTGGATTATGAATGAACACCGCTGAGGAGTCCCATAATAGGATGAAACAGCCATCCAGTGTTTCCAGGTTTTCAATGGTGGTCTAACATCAATCAGTTCATGATTTCAATCAAATCGAATAGAATTGAGTTCACTTTACTATAAAATCCTAATAACATAAGGACCATATGGAGACTGTAGTATTTTTATAGTTGAAATTACGATCTGATTTTAGTTAGATCATCATTGAAAATATGAAAGCATTGGATGGCTGTTTCATCCTACTATGGGACTCCTCAAGAGTGTATATCCACGATCTTGCACACGAGATTCGAAGTAAGGACTTTTAGTCTCCCACACGAACGTTTGATCTATAGACCACTCATTTCCTTTCAATCTGTGATCTTGTGCATCCCTTTGTCCATTTCCTGAGGTTGATAACTGTCTCACACCCAACACGGACTAAGCTACGGTTTCACAATTGATTGATCACTGGGTGGTGATCAATGTCATGCTTGTCTAGTCCTTATTATTAGTGCAGATCGATTGCTATCGATCATGTTGCAATGTGGCCACCAGTCTAGGTGACTTGACACTGCGGGCACTATGTATTGAGATTGAGATGGTGGTTGGTCAACAGGAAACCCTGTTGACTACCTCCACCCACCATCTTAAGCTACGGTTTCTCACAAAAACTCCAGTACTTACATATTGAGTCTGAGTGACTCATGCTACTTCTTTCCATCCTCTCATGTATATCTGCCCAATTAGAACGAAGAAAAATCAGTCAGTTTATCTTATATATTTTGTCTTAAAAGTCATATGATAATACTCATCAATTACAAGAGGATAACATTACTGAAATCGCAATTTTTGCATAACTAGGTAACTAAGTAATGGGTGTACAGTGAACTATTTATAATTTATGAACGGCAAAACATATCGTCGATAATGAATGTCAAATAGATGTTCATTCTATTATGATACTATTTATTAATCCATATTTAACATGTTAGGTAGTTGGATATAGTGGGGAAAAAACACTTGACAGAGGTTTCGTACCAGTTGGCACTCATAAGTATACCTGCTATTTTGAGAAAGTCAGTACTCCTGATTAGACTCAAACCAATGTCATAAATTTTTACAATCTGAAATGTTGCCACTGAGGTATGCCGGCTGCTACTAACAAGGGATATATATATATATATATATATATATATAATATTAAAATTTAGTGTATGGAAGAGAACAAAGAAATGACTCGGTGTTATGAAATGCATACAACATCAATATACATTTCAGTTCGATTATCCTAAATTATATGTAATGTAATTTATTTATTAATTAAAGGTTTATTTAATTAGTCTTAACCCAAACTTCAAATGTGAAAGTTGATTATACTACTTAGATGCTCAAACTAAACTTATCTTACAATCGAAATCTATAGATCATCAAATCCCAACAACCACAAACTGGAAAATGATGAATTCTGATTGATGAGAACAGAATGATCTACTGATCAACAGAGATTATTTATATTGTAGGTAGTAGTTAAGTCTGGAATGCGCAATTCATTTCATCTGGGATTCATCAGTTAAATGCATTTGCATCACAGTCTTGGTGAGAACAAGTACATTCAAATTAGTTAAAAACTGCTAAAGAATACTTGTCATTTTCTGTTTCTATGTATGCGAATAATCATCGTGTTTTTTCAATGTTCAATAGGAGTGAAATATTTATCATTTTCGAGCATTTTTTGTGCTTATTTAGCGTGTATAGTAGTATATGTAGAAAAGTGTAATATTCACTGAAGACTTTATTTTAATCAACAAAAGTTATCTACGTATCCCTTCTGTGAACAGGCTACTATAATGTATCCCAACTTAGAGAATGAAAAAAGTAATTAAATTGAAAGTTAAAGCCTAAAATGACATCCCTAGTGAACATTATCTACTTATATGCGACATCCACTAACGAAATGAATGTAAAAACGCTAGCCGTTGCATGCATATCGAACATTGAAAAGTAGATGCGCTAGAAATGCACACAGCTTCTTTCCTTCATTTGATTACAATTCTTAGTTAGTACTTTTTTCAGCCACAACTCTCTAGATAATAAATACTCGACTTTTTTTCTATCATTAAAGATGTTTTATATTAGTGTCTAACTAGTTAGTTGATATTTAAATATATATTAGGAGGCTAGATCTAGTCAGTAGGAAACTCTGGACATATATTTCATTTTAGTGGGCACTTCTCAGCTATTTGTACTTGTAACTGATGCTCCTTGCAGGACTGGAATCCACCTTATCCAATTTCACAGTCCGAGATATTATCACTGGGTTAAGGTATTTAGATTAATGAGCCGCTTAATTCTAACTAAGGTTATGTTTGTCTAGCCCTTATTAGTAATTAGATTTTATCGTTTGCATCCAGCCACTAGATATCAAAAAACATTAAGTTATGTTGTGTTCTCTTTTATCATGTGGGACAGACATTGATGATGCCGTCTAGAACGATAACGAAAGTTTCGGAGTCAAATACACTTAATCCAGATGAAAAAACGCAACCAAAACATATGTCTGGGCTAGGAATCTTTTTCGCCATTTCAATATCAATACTCAGTACGTATGATTTCTACTTACCAAGATTAGTGGTCACATTCCATCTTGATCAATAGACTTTGATTATTACTAAAATAGTAAAGTATGAAATTGATCACTAAATGGTGACGTGTTAATTTACGTTTGAATGTTACTACTATTTTGGTGTTGCAACGACTATTAAATTCGAAGTTCAAAATTCTTGACTGATTTAGTTTAAACAACCATTTCAATCCAGCTGTTTCGTCCCAGTTTTGGTTTTTTCAGAAGTCCTAACCCACAACAACATCAGGAATTGAATCTGGGAACTTCTTAACTTTCAGATCAATCAGCTGTAATCCAATAGTTCCCATTTCCAACCGAATACTGAGTTTTGTTCCTCCTTCATTACAAAGGAATTTTCTTAAGTATTCACCCTTTCAACCTTTTTCATCAAGTTAAATAGATCTGATGGGTTTTGTGGATATTATAGTAATTTCAATGGTTAAGATCATGAGTCAGTTGAAGCTAGACCACCATGGAAAACCTGGAAGCTGGATCGTGAATGAGCACTGCTGAGGAGTCCCACAATAGGACGAAACGGCCGTCCAGTGTTTCCAGGTTTTCTATGGTGGTCTAGCTTCAACTGACTCATGATCTTAACCATTGAAGTTAAATAGATCTCTTAGATTACAGAGAGGCTAGGAAATGAATTAGAAAGTTGTTAAATTTTATAGTTCAGGTTTTTTATTGTTCGATGTACTACCCCTCATATCAACAGGAAATATCACAATTTAATTGTGATTGATTTAGAATGAGGTATCATGTTTCCAAGTTTAACGAAGATAGTAATCAGGGTTGTGTACTTATTTAAGTTACATAATTGTAGTAAACAAGTGATTACTGCATTTTTGATCTGCATTCCCATAGCTGTTGATACTAAGGACCACAACTTGTCACTCTCTATTGTTATATGTGAATCCTGAGTAGAACACCTGAAGACTGTATTTATGTTACAAGTTTTTGTTAGTTTGGCGACCGAATCCAGTAGGCAAGTTTTTTCAAAACTTTCTTCTTTCTGTTTTATTTTAAGGAAATCCACAGATCAAATCAATACCGAGTCCATGTTCTGTAATAGCATCCTCATCATCATCACCAATCGTACTAACATCATCAGCATTGACAACTCCAACATCAACAGTGCATTGCACTAAAATATTGAATCAATCCATTTTATATAATAATAATAACAATAATAAAAGACCAATTAGTAATCCTAATCGTAAACGTTCACATACTGGTGAATTTAAAACAAATGAATTCAATAATCCTGTCATACAACAATTTGTAAATTCTAAAAAATCCAGATATACTACTAACAGTAGTACTACTAATCATTTAAGTAATATTCATCATGATAAACATATATCACATCAACAATTTATTGATGATAATCTTAATAACAGTTCGCTTATCGATGATGGACTCAAATCAGCATATATTGAACATGGTACATTCAATAAAACTCAAGGTCAGGAACAAATGTTAAACAGCGAAATGAACCGAAGATCAAATATTAGCAGAAACGATAATATTAATGATACAACTGATGATGAATATGATGAAGATGATGATATCGCCAATGATGGAGATTGTTTAATGACGGACAAAACAAACGTATCATGTAATTTTCATAAAATTCTCAGTAATAATAGTAATAATAAACCACGAAAAGAACGTACTGCATTTACTAAACATCAGATTTGTGAATTAGAAAAAGAATTTACTACTCATAGTTATTTAACAAGATTACGACGATATGAAATAGCTGTAGCGTTGAATTTAACTGAAAGACAAGTAAGTTTGGAAGAGTTTTTGACTCACAGTTCATTGATATTGATGCATTTGTTCAACTTGTTCCTAGTTTACATTACTGATTGATCATATTCAGACAACTAATGAAAATCAGGAGGCACTAGAAGGTCGTCTCATCCTGGTACAGGAACCTCTATCAGTGCACATCTACCACCCCAACAGGGACCAAACTCAAAGCCTTTGGTTTCGTAGTAGACGTTTAATCTGTATTCAAGCATTTATATCATTATCGGTAGGGATTTGAATTATTATTGTGTTAACATTCAGAACTGAGAGTTATCATCGTTTATTGATATATCTGGTTCATGAACGGATAGCCTTTGGTTATAAGTCTTGGTAAAATCAGTGTCTGGTTCACAGTAAACAAGTTAGTGACCATCTGGAATAATTCTATCAGTGAACAAACCAATGGGTGTTTGGAGCAAAAGGCACCGAGTTTGAGTCTCGATGTTAATACAAGGAGATAAGCACGTCCAATTAATGAGTTCAAGATGAAAGGTAACACATTTTGAATTATACTGTCAGTCGCAATCCATCTGCTATATATCCAATCATATTTTTAGGTACTGTATGATGAAGTTAGTCATACATCTGTTTCTAAGTTACACAATCGAGATTTAAACTTTAAGTATATATTTGAGTGATTTATTCAATAAATAAACGAACTTGAGAAACAAGGTGAAACTTTCTGGAAATATCTGAAATGTTAAAAGGTGATTACAAAGAGAATACATCGAAAAATGGAACAAACGTTTCTGTGAGTGCAGTGAAGGCTTTGAAGATGGTATGAGGTAAAGATGTGTTTAGTATCCTATACTTTTCGAATACTAATTCACGGTTTCATTTATCTTAATGAAATAAATTTGGGAAGACCATTAGGGGACGTCGGACAACCCTCTCAAAATACCTAACATCTCAGTAAAGTACACGTGGTGTCGAATCAACAACTGCACTGGTAACCATAATACAATTTAGTCAATAGGATTCAATCAACACACTAAGAACCAGATAAATATGATATCGATCACACTAGTCAGTAATCAATTAATTTTTAATACTAAAATAAAACGACCAGTGTAGCAGCAGCAGCAGTAGATCTCAACACACACAAAGGGTAAAACAATATTCTCCGAAACAACACAGCATGCACCAATCAAATCACACTTGATGGAGAAGATTTGGAAGATGCAAAAACATTTACATATATGGGCAGCATCATTGATGAACACAGTGGATCTGATGCAGATGTGAAGGCGCCGATCGGCAAAGCAAGAACAGCATATCTACAACTGAAATACATCTGCAATTCAAAACAACTATCTGTGCACCAACACCAATGTCACAATTTCCAATGCAAATGTCAAAACAGTTCTACTTTACGAGGTGGAAACCTGGAGAACTACGAAAGTCATCATCCAGAAGATATAAGTGATGAATAACAGTTGCCTACGCAAAATACTTCGGACCCGTTGACCAGACACTACACTATCAACAACAACCTACTGTGTGAGAGAACAGATCGGATTCCAATGTAGGAAGAAATCAGGAAGAAGTGTTGGTTGTGGATAGGACATACATTGAGGAAAGCACCCACCTGTGTCACAAGTCAAGCCGTCACTTGGAATGCTCAAGACCAAAGGAGAAGAAGAAGAAAACCAAAGAACACATTACATCGAGAAATGGAGACAGATATGAGAAGAATGAATAACAATTGAATAGAACTGTAAAGGAATGTCCATGATAGAGTGGTTTAGAGAATGCTGGTCGGCGACCTATACTCCATTGGGGTAACAGACGTAAGTAAAATAAAACTATCAGAGGAAATATTGATAAAACAAGACACAACAGATCTGATTTTCAATTATCACTATGATTATTATTGAAACTAGAAAGAAATCAGTTGCTTATTTAAATTTTGAAAAAAATAATATGTGTTTCATTCATTGTTTGAATGAAATGAACAGTAACAGGTGCAAAGCTATACAGATCACTGTGTACAAACATGTGCCTTCCTTTTGTGTGTATTACTATCCGATTAATAATAATCATAATAATACTCAATATATGAATACCCACCCCGAAAATTAATATTGGACTGTATTGCTATGGTATTCATGTTTACTAAGATCATTAACATTATATGTACATTTGTACTATTCTACAACAATGGTTACTGTAGAATTCTGATGACTATGTCTACAATTTTACTTCATAGACAACAACAACTACTACTACTGATCATATTAGTAATCATTATTATTATGAATATGATATAGTAGTCATAGTAAATAGAGTTGAGACCTTCTATTAGAAATACAGAGATTTGCAGATGTGCATTTGTGTGTATAAGTATAAATCAAACAAAAAATAAATGAATATCTTTACTTCATTTTTTTATTATCATCGGTAGAGTGATAGTTTTGTTTAGTGTTGTGGATAGTGTGAAATAAATCATTTGAGAATTATTATAATTATTATTATTACCGGATTTACCAATTCCCACATGTTCATTTATACACTGTATTTTTAGATAGAAAGGAATTGAATGTACTATATTGTATTTGCTCACTTACACGCGTACATACACACACATATATATATACCCTGACAAGGATTAATTACACATATATAAATACAGACAGACTGTAGAAGGGTGAGGGTAATATAATGCATAATTTACAAAGAATTCAAGTGGTTTTCATAATTTTAGAAATGGCACATATATCGTCACTCTAGTTGTGCGTCACGTATTTATTAATGGTGTAGTATAGTTGCCAAGTCAAATGTTGACCTATAGTTAATAATTTTTTCATGTCAGATACATCATAAGTTTAGTTACTGGAATACATACATTCATACACACATACAACAATATTTATACTTATGTCTACTTATGCCTACAAAAATGGAAGATTTCTTTTCCTTTTTTGTTTATCCTAAACTGATCCTAAGAGAATATCAAATCATTTAGTCACCCTGATATAAACACACATACAAAGAGACAGATTTGAATTAAACATTGTCAATACGTTTAATGTTTCTCAGGATGAATTATTTTTCCCCATTTTATAATTCTAGAATTTCAAATGTACAACATTGCAGGATAGTAGAGTGAGAGAGAGAGAGAGGCGGAGATATGAGGTAGTCTACAATAAATATTTCAACACAGAAACTAACCCACAAAATGGATCATAGGGTTTATGTATGGGGTATTTTTTTGTGTGAATCTATAAAAAGACACTCATAGTAAGAGATATTTTCTGTTGTCAAGTTTACAATTTAATTATGACAATCGTGTGTGTGTGTTTATGTAGATCTGTACAGATCTCACGTTAATTCATGTTAAACTGTGTTTGAAAATAGGAAAACAACACATAAATATTGTTAAGAACACGAATATAATTAGTTGTACATAGTCTGTACAATATAATTTGACAAAAGTTTATTAGATCTCTGTTAGTGACCAAAAATGTAGAAGATAGATAGGGTAAGTAGGTGTTCAGTTAATCGGGTGTTCGGAAAAAAACAGAACTTACATAGTTATTCATAAAATAATTAATTGATACTTATCAAGCATATCAGAAGGGTTTTGTGGATATTAAAGTAATTTCAGTAGTTGAGATTACTATAATATCCACAAAAACCTTTCTGATATGAATCAACATATGCTCAGTAGTGACTGGTTTCAAGAGGTATTTCCTGGAGTTCTGGTGAGAAGCAGTGATCAGTGGAGTTCAGCCGGGTCGGTTGTGAGATAGTAACTCACTTAAGACAATGATGGATTTGTGGCTGAATTTCGTGGATTGGTTGAAGTCAGGAATTAACACCGTTGATTGGTGGTCTAGAAGTTAGGCGCTCTCGCGCGAGACTGACAGGTTTTGTGTTGGGATCTCACAAAGTGGAGTCGTGGATGCGCACTGCTGAGGTGTCCCATAATATAACGAAATGGCCGTCCAGTACTTCCAATTTTTCCATGATGGTCTAGCTTCAACTGACTCATGATCTCAACCATTGAAATTACTTATCAAACAGTTGATTTATGACGATTGAAATTACTGTATTTGAAGTCTGATATAGTCTGGGATGTATACCATTAAGAAGTGATAAACTAGGAGAAAACACTTGTTTAATGTTTCACGAACTTCCAGTATATATGAACACTTACCTATCATTTTGCTATTCTGATTCAATAAATGAGAATGTAGGGATTTGTGTAGTCATTTAACTAAATCAACAAAATACTGAAACAAATTTACTAAATTTTTCAGTTAGTATTGTAAGAGATTTACATGATTGGAGAATTGAAGTTGAAGTGTCTTAAATTCTGCCATTAAGTCATAGAGTACTAATAATTGAATTGCATCGTCGATGCTATGAGTAGATAGCAATTGAATGATAAGATATTTTACATGTTATTTATTGTGATTAATTATTTCATGGAGTTCTAATGAAAAGCAGTGACCAGTGGAGTTCAACCAGGTCTGTTTTGAAATAGTAACTCATTGAAGACAATGATGGATGTGTCGCTCAATTTCGTGGATTAGTTGAAGTTAAACGTTAACACCATTGGATACCGACCGGCTCAGTAGTTTAGTGGTTAAATGCACTCGCGCAAGACTGATAGGTCCTGGGTTCGAATCTCGTGAGGCTGAATCGTGGATGCGCATTGTTGAGGTGTTCCATAATATAACGAACTGGCCGTCTAGCGTTTTCAGGTTTTCTATGGTGGTCTAGTTTCAATTAACTCATGGTCTCAACCAATGATATTACTATAATATTCACAAAAATCCTTTTGATATAAATAAAGATTCACTAAACTTAACTTAATGGAAGTAATTTTATTTCTTTAAGAGATTACAAAATAATAATAATTGTAATATGGTAATAATCATAATAATCATGATAATAATAATAATAATAATATTTCATATTTGTTTAGTCTCATTTTTTTATAGAAATATTTCTTTCTTGTTGCTAACCCCTTTTTTTTATTGACTTGTCAGTTCACGTGTCAATAAATCAATAAACTTGATAACAGATTGGGTTGGGTTTTGTTTTTTTTTCAAATTTTATCTCATATAAACAAGAAATCAATCAAATAGAACAAATAATGAAACTGTCTATGAAAAAAATTTTTTCTTCTAAATATTCATAAATACCATGGAATAGTTCATTCAGTTGTGATTTTTTTGTTTGTTTTTAGAGGGATAAGTATAAAATAGTTTGACAAAATAGGATTAAGATCTATTTTGGTAGGATATCAATCAATGTTAATCTTTGTGTGATTCTTTTGACACATATATGTTTCTATCTATTCAATGGTTATTACGAGGATATATATGCATATCAATTCGTTTATATAGTCTGCCAATTTTTAACATTATGATTGAAAAAGTATAGTTGGTAAGGTAAAATTAGATCCAAAATATAAAACAATAACAATAACAACCTATAAATAACACTGTGATCAAATGGATATTTGTTGCTAACATAAAAAACTAACTTAAAAAAAAATTCATTCAGCAGGAATAAAGTTGGCGAGATTATAATTTATGGATGAACCAATCAGATTTATGATAACAGGTCATGGATTTTGGTGCGAAATTCACTCACTCATTCGTCCAAATATCGTCTTGGCATTATAGCTGATGTCAGTTTGTGATATGAACCCTAAATCTAATTCCTAACCCTAACCATCAACTGTAAACCATAATTCTTATTTTTCAAACTGTTTTATAACCGTCATTTAGCCCTTATAGTCTCATCATAGAATTTTCTGATTACAAATCAAATACAGAAAATAGGTAATCACATTGTTATTTGTCGGACTGAATAGGTGGGAATAGTGTTTCAGTATTGAGAATAAGGAAAAACAATGTCTTTATGATAATTTCCTAACATAAATGGGAATTCGTTACAAGTGCATGAGTCTATCTATCTACTTGTGTATTAGATAATTTAACTTAAATTAAGCTTACTCACATAGCATCTGGAACGTATATATTATCAGAAGGAGTTTTTGTGGATATTATAGTAATTTAATTGTTGAGTTCACGAAACGACTGAAGCTATACCACCATGGAAGACATGAAAGTACTGGACAGTCGTTTCGTCCTAGTATGGGACTCCTCGGCAGTGGGCACCCACGATCCCGCACCACGAGGTCTGAACCTAGGACCTATCAGTCTCGCGTGAGAGCGCTTAACCACTAGACCACTGAGCCAGTCGGCATCCAACGGTGTTAATGTCTAACTTCAACCAATTCACAAAATTGAGCGACACATCATTATTTGTCTATCTAAATAGTTTGTTGTGATAAATTTTAATATATTTTTTAGGACAAAACAATAATGATATTTAGTAGCTAGAGACTTAGAGATAGATTTATCTACTAGTCGACTACTTATCAGGATGAAGCATCTTCAGTTCTGAAAGAACAAATGATTCTTATGAGAAATGAATACATTTTAATCAGTTTTACGTTATGAAACGTTACCATTCAACTCTAACCAATTAACACCAAGATATAATTCAAGTTACTTAACCTAATGACCACATTGTAATTTGATCTACAGAATTCCATGCAGTACATTGAGTACCTAATAAACATATCACTAATTACTATTTATTGATCAATTAATGTAAACTATCTGTCAGTTTAAATTCACTTGGTGTTGTTTTACTTGTATCTTCCGATTGTTATTCAGGACTGTAACTGATCAGTCTATTGTAGGCAATATATGCATCCTGTATGAATTGCCTCGATATAGCTCTAAGTCACAAGCTTTATAAGCAAAAATGGATAGTGACTAGCAGTGGAATCCAGGACGCGGGTTTCGTCCTATTTGGAACTAGTCAGCTGGATGTAACCACTATCCATCTCACTCAATTTAATATATATTGTGAATTTAAGGTTCAAAATCTACACAATAATCCATAATTTATAATATCGAGACACCTGATGTTTGTTGAGGACTGTATATTGTTGTGTACTCTCAAAATTAGATAAAACAGTCATTCAATACTACGTTGCTATCGATTAACGAACCATTTAACATCCTATATGCTATGATTAGAAAGGATTTAAATTATCACATTGTTTGCAATTTTGACTGAACATCTATCAATCTTAGTCGGTTATGTGTAATATGTGCCAACCGCCTTTAGATAATCACTTTTTATTACACGTTTTAATGAAATAGGTGGGTTGTTTTCAGCAGTAGACCCTAGAATTCACTTTTTCAGTCACGATAATCAATGAGATAATCTGAATTCTTTCTAATAGTGTTATAAATATCATACCTGTTACACAAGTGAGTGGCTCTTCAGACTCTGTAACTCAACGGGTAACGTATTGAGAGTTTTAAGCTGAAGATACTGAATTAGAATCTCGATATGAATATCAATAGAGAGATCCAGATACATTCATCTATAATGAGTATAAAATAGGATGAAACACGCATCTTGATCTACATTGTAAGCCGAAAATCCACTTATTATCTTATTTTATATAATCGAAATTGTTTTTCCAGTTAAATAAAAATAATTACTGCAAAACTACGTTTACATATCAAATTACTATTACTACTAATGATAATACTATTACTAATCGATAATTTCTCACTCTTTTAATTATTAGGTCAAAGTTTGGTTTCAAAATCGACGAATGAAATTTAAACGAATGAGAAGTAAGTACAAAATACATTGAGGTTTTCACAATGTCCATGTTCTTTTCTTTAACTTCACATTTTTTGTTCTGTCTAAACAAACCTTATTTATTAATTTATTTGAACACATAAACATTGGTACAAACAGGCACCAAATATATATGCACACCACACAAAGCATTCGATTTGTGTGAGAGCTGGGATACTGCTCAGGTACCAGAACCGAAATAGGTGGTTTCCTCAGGGGGCCACACACGGAGCCTTTGACCTGACGGTACAATCCACAACGCAGTGGAGCAACGTAAGAATATGCAGTCACGTGGTAGCCAGTCACCAACGATTGGTGAATACGCCATTTGTTCCTTCAGGATTATGCAGTCAACCCATGTGCACGATTGGTTTGGAATGAGGGTTTTCCAACTCCCCTAGATGGATTCTCCATATCCACCAACGCGGTTAAATTGCTGGACATTCTCTTTCCATCCTCTCGATTTCGTAGACAACAGAAATGACGCGAGAAGGCAGTGAGTAGGATTTCCGTGGCAGTGGTTTTATGCATGTGTCCATGTGAGGGCATTTGGGGGCGGTAATTTCGATAGACGTATTTTGAGATTAGTTTCATATGAAGGTGGTATTAGTTGGCAGTACCTTAAATGAGATCAGTTTTTGACGAATACTGGCTACAGAATAAATAAATTAAAAAAAAAACATCTCCCACATTTCATTAATAGCCGTCAATTCACCAGTGACTTACTTTGAAATGAGTTTTTGTTAGCTGTAGTGAGAAGTAACCAGTGGAGTAAAAAATGTGTTTCCAGTAGAAATGAATCATCATCGGGCAACTTCGTGAGTTGATTATAGTTATAAATGCAAACAAGTAGGTGTCAAACCAGTCCAATATGAAATCTGAAGATGAAATAATAAACTTTCATTCCATTTCTATGAAAATTAACTTAAACGAAATTTCTAAATTTTATAAATCTTCGAAAGTCAAGTACCAAAAATTTTGGAGCCAGAGATATGTTATGTGGCTAGAGATAGTTAACAAGATACCCTACTCAATATGATTTTCGTACTGGTTAGCACTCATCATCAACATATGCTTATAATCCTAAGTTATTTGAATCCGCGTTATCTAGCATCACAACCTGAGACTTGACTATTAGGCTATTCATGCCACAATTGACCTTTATGACAGAGACTGATTGATCATCGACTAGTGATCAAGTTCATGTTTGCTATTTAGTGCTGAGTGTGTTGATTGAAGTCTACGAATAATGTTGCAGTGTAGTCGGTAGTCTAAAAGTCTTCCCGGTATATGCACTATATTTCGATGTTAAGAAAAAGAAATACAAATTCTTTTCAACCCATGCCGGGCTACTTATTTACTCAATAATACTACTGGAGCATAAACCATAGAGATCCAATTCGATTACTCAAAACGTAATATTTCTTCATCATTAGCTTATGTGAAATTTCTCACTTCCTATCTATTAATGTAATGAAATATATACCAGTCAAGAATTCATTAATGTAGTGAGAACACAACACTTTTTCAATGTAAAATAACGTTTACTCATCATAATCAAAAGAACAATTATGAAATTAAAGATCTGAAATTGGCCCATTTTAGACATATACACCATTAAATACCGGCTTAGTGATCTAAAGGTTAGGCTTTCTTGTCTAAGATAGAAGGTTTTGTGTTTGGTCCCAGTTTCGAGATCATGGGTAGTACAAACGACAGTTCAATACTTTCATTTGTTCAACGTTGTCTAACTTAGATCACTTCGTGATACCAATAAATTTAAACAATTGCCACAACCTTATACTTAGAATTTTTTTGTCATTATTATTAAATTTGAATGAGATCATGAACCGATTTATGTTAGACTCGGTACATTGGTCTAGAGGTTAAGCGTTCGCGCACGAGACCAAAGGCTCCGGGTTCGAATTTCGTTAGGCTGGATCGTGGGTGCACACTGCTGAGGAGTCCCAAAATAGGACAAAACAGTCGTCCAGTGCTTCCAAGTTTTCAATAATGGTCTAACATCAATCGGTTTATTATCTCAAATAAAAACTTAATAATCTTCACAACCCTATACCGATTATTAAATTTTGTTTAAAATGATGTTTCAGTTGTTCCAAAATTTAAATTTTAGGTAACAGTGTTTCTAAAGATGAAACCTATTCACTTCAACTACCGTATGATGATGACTTATGTTCAAGTATGCAACAAATTTGTTAAACATTTAGAATAATTCATAATGATAATGGTATATTGTATGAGTGATAGAAGCCAATTGTATTATTCTATGAATAGTTTCAACAAGAGAAAATAGAAACTTTTAATTTCTATAGAATTATAATAATTGACTTTTGTGTTGTAATTTTTTTGTCCAACCCCTCTTCATCTGCCATTCTTTCATACATTCTCATTTATTTTTCACTTTCATAGAATGTGTATAAGTTTGTTCATGAATCATCGATCTTTATTGTAATTTCTCTAGCAGTTACATTTGTGTTTTATAACCTCAATCAACTTGTAGAATGTATAAATACTTTTTCTTCTCAAATTGTTCTTCTTGATATAAACAAAATCAACCGGGTCAGTTGTGAGATAGTAACTCACTGATGACAATAGTGGATGTGTCGCTCAATCTCGTGGATTAGTTGAAGTTAAACATTAACAGCGTTGGATACCGACCGGCTCAGTGGTTTAGTGGTTAAGCACTCTCGCGCGAGACTGATTGGTCCTGGATTCGAATCCCGTAGTGCAGGATGGTGGATACGCACTGTTGAGGAGTATCAAAATAGGACGAAATGGCCGTCTAGTGATTCCAGGTTTTCTATGGTGTTCTTGCTTCAACTGATTCATGACCTCAACTATTGAAAATCACGAAAGGCAATACATATATTACGTTTAACAACCGTTCGATATGAATATAGATACGCACGCTTTCTATACGTTTGGTCAAAATACTATACATATGAAGGATGTAGTGAGTAAGGAAATTCAATAGTCAAAACAAAAAAACACACATCATATTTACAGATCATAGATGTATATATAATTATCCTTCTGGTTCACACAATGACATATAGTCATAACCGGCTTCACTCAATAAAATGCCTTGATTATCATCTCTTTACCTATCATTTGGCTTTGAGGCAGTAAATGAGCACAAATGCTTAATATGTTTGAATTCTCTCAGGCTATCAACATGTTCAGAAACGATGATAATGATCATATTCATGAAACGAACATAATTCACTGATATAATTTCTGATTGTAATACTGGATAATCTAGATTTAAACTACACAGAAAACATCAGTTCCCTTAAGATTTTCAATATGTCTTCATAATCAGTGGTAAGTATGATCAAACATGGATAAAATTGAGCAGTTTATCCAGATTGAACTCTCAGATTGAGCTGACAAGACTACTTCAATAGATAACGATTGTTACTTATAACTTCCTCATACCATTATTTTATAACTCCACCCAACTAACTCTTCAGCGAATTTATGGATGAATGATTCGTAAGCAATGAAGAATTTTCTATCAAAGTATTAATCGCTATGCAAAAGATTTAGAAAAAAATCTTTTAGTTTTAATATATTTTCACCCAGACAAATGAGATTATGTAACGATAGTTCAATAATGTTCAAATGGGAAAACTGATGATAGACTTTCTAAAATCACAATATTTTAAACAGATTTCATTACCCATTTATTCTATCTCTTCTCTAACGGACACTCATCGACAGCATTCATAACCAAATACTAATCTAATATATATATATATATATATTGGTTATTATCGAATTATGGTTTAAAGATGATGTCTAACTTAATCATACTTAGTTTAGTGAAGGACTTCTATTTTATTCTGTAGATAGAATACAGTTATGTAATCTTGGGTTATAATAACTTAACAAAAATAATCTGCACAGTATGTAGACTGATTAAAATTCAAAGACAAGATAGTTTCAATCATTACAAATTAAATTCAACATGTTAGACAGAATAATGTTATGGTAAGTGGTAACTAGAAAATTGATGATGTGGTTTTAAAGTAATAGTTATAACAAGGAAGATTCAAGAAACGTATCATATACTTTATCATTTGTGTATATAAAGTAATTATGAACATGATTAACCAAAAGGTGATAGAATTGGTTAGCATATAATGTAAATAACAATGGATACATTTGAAAAGAAACATTCTTATTATGATTATCTAAGTTAAACATTAACACCGTTGGATGCCTATTGGCTCGGTTGTCTAGTGGTTAGGCGTTCGCACGCGAGACCGATAGGTCCTGGGTTCGAATCTCGCGAAATGGGATCGTGGATGCGCACTGTTGAGGAGTCTCAAAATAGGACGAAACGGCCGTCTAGTGATTCCAGGTTTTTCATGATAGTTTAGCTTCAATTGACTCATGATCTTGTTAAGTGTTTCAGTTTTCAGTTTCAGTTTGGAAAGGACAGGAGGCCTGATAGCCTGTGTTAGTCCTGGCAATGGTGGTCTCTCAGTTGATCCAACTTTCTTTTGAAAGAGTCGACGGATGGAGCCTCAACCATGTGCTGAGGTAATGAATCCCACTGGTTGATGATTCGATGGGAAAGTCGGTAGTCAGCTGACAAGTAATTTGTCCTGGGCTTGTGAACTTTTTTGGAGTGTCCTCGTAAATTCTCTGTTTTGGAAGACAAGAAAAATGAGGGCATATCAGGTGCAAATTTGGCACTAAGCAATTTGAAAACTGTAATCAAGTCGCCTCTAGTTCTGCGATATGACAACGGGAAAAGGTTCAGCTTGGCCAGTCGAGATTCATACGGAAGCTTCGCTATTGCGGGAACCAGCTTAGTCGCCGTTCTCTGAACCTTTTCCAGAAGCTCACTGTCTTTTTTAAAGCAGGGGCTAGCCGCCTGTATGCAGTACTCAAGTTTAGGACGAACGAACACTGTATACAAAGTCAAAAACGTCTTAGTGTCGACATGACTAAAAGCCCTACGTATTGACCATAAGGTTCTAAAACCTTTGGCGGCTATTGCACGGCAGTGTGCAGTAGTCTTTAGGTTTTGGCTAACGATGACTCCTAAGTCATTATATGTCTGGACGACAGGTAGCTCAGTGTTATTCATCGTGTATGTATCTGTACCTTGATGACCGATATGCATCTCAATACACTTGGAAGTATTAATCGGCAACTGCCAGGCTTGAGACCATTCAGATAATTTCTTCAGGTCATTTTGAAGTTCTAAGCTATCACCCTTACATCGTATCGTTCTCCATATCTTGACATCGTCAGCATATAGCAAGACCGATGATGATAGGAGACGAGGAAGGTCATTTAGATACAAGAGGAATAGCACTGGCCACAAAACTGTACTCTGGAAAACTCCACTAAACACAGTTCCCCAACTAGATAACTTTGAGTTCACACGTACTCTTTGTTGACGCCCAACTAAGAAGCCTTTTATCCACTTCAATAGATTGCCTCCAATCCCGACATTTCTTAACTTATATAACAGCCAGTTGTGCGGAACTTTGTCAAAAGCTTTGCTGAAATCTATGAAGGCTACGTCTACAGGTAACTTTTGGTCCTTAAGAGCGCAACAGCTTTCACGAGCCACTAATAAGTTAGTGAGACAAGAGTAACCTATTCTGAAACCGTGCTGCTTCTCCGAGAGGATCCGGTTTTTATCAAGATACTTAAACAGCTCCTTCCGAATAATCTTTTCTAAGATTTTAACAACCACACTAGTTAGGCTAACGGGGCGGTAATTCTCAGGTTTGTGTTTCGTACCTGTTTCGAAGACAGGACTTACTATGGCGTTTTTCCAGTCTTTGGGTAAACGACCTTGCGTTACGGATAGGTTAAAGCATATACTTAAAGGGTTCGCAACGAAGTTAGATAATTCCTTCAGTAGCCTAGGATGTAATTCATCGGGCCCCGTGGATTTACCTATGTCAAGCTTATTTAGTAGACCAAAGACATCGAGTTCTTTAATGGTCACGCTATTCAGTGTATGTGTGGGTGGATTTGTATGCGCTGACGGGAAGGGTGCTTCCATGGTATATACATTGCTAAAAGTAGTTCGGGAACACTTGAGCCTTACCAAAGTCGTCCTCCACTAGTGACGCGGCAGTATTGTCTCCCCATAGAGCAGGAATATTTCCTCTTCTCTTTGTCCTTTGGTTTATATAAGAATACAAACGTTTAGGACATTCTACGGAGTTCTTAACAATCTTTTTTTCGTACAACTTTCTAGACTTACGGAGAGTCGAGTCACAGGTATTCCAAGCTTTTCGATACTGAGATTTTGTCTCATCGGTCCCCAGTAACCTAAATCTATCCCACATTTTTCTTCTCTTACGGAGAAGGATGCGGACCTCCCTACTGAACCATGGTGGGGAGTTTCTCGGCCCCCTTGGTGTAGTCCAAGGGATGTGGGGTGTGGTATGAATTTCGAAATGCGTCCTAGGCCGTTTCAATTGATTTGGAAGTTAAATAGAAAGAAACATCTGCTCCTGAAGTGGGATGTTTCAGAAAAGGCTAATACTTGTGCAGCGTACTTAATCTGATTAAAAAAATATATATACTCCAAAACGTTTGTACAGACTTTTGAAGTCTTCTATTTTTTATAGTTCAAATCCAAAATGTTATGACCAAAGACAATATGTAGTGAATGAAATAGCTTCTAAATCACTTAAGTATGAACACAATCTGTTATCTTAACACACTTTTCATTTCACATCTCATGTCTCTTACACAATAATGCAAACGCCTACTTTGAACTTGTTAACGTTGATTGGATGACCTATTCAGTCAGTGCACAGTCAACCGGAGAACCATGTATCTATTTATATTCGATAATTTTGATGTTTGATTATATTTCCTTAAAAAAGCTTGAACCAGATTGCTAAGCGAAACGTTTGATTTACTTTAAATTCATTCGCTGAGATTTTACAAATACATTCTTCCTCTTTAATTTCTCTTAGATACCTTATGTCTCATTAATATTTGGTTAACAAGATGTCTAAAATTAATAAACATGGAAAGATTAAGGAATAAAAACTATGGGTTATAGATCTTTTCAAGGTGACTCAGAATTTGCTTATAGTTGGAATCAATGGAGTAATTGCATAAGTATTCAACCATATGAAACTATAAAACTCGAGTCATACAATACTCCAGTCCCAAAATGCCCTGATAGGGTCGAGGGTAGGGAGAGTTAG